TGCTTAAGGGATGTGTGAAAATCTGAGATGTAATTACATCATTCGTATGATCGGCACCAATCCGGTCTCATCAAATAATTTCGGATAAGATTTTTTCTCTTGAAATTTGAACTCATCATGTGATAAGCAACCAATGATCAACAAACAAACAATAAGATCTGGCGACATTGTCATTCGCGTCTTTTTCTCCAAGATGTCAAGAATTTCTAATCTTAGAAAAAGAAATAGATCCTTAAGAGAAGACAGTCCAGAAGATGAATTAGACAGAGCAATACAGAGTTCAGATGCTGGTAAGAAATTATTTCAGAATACATTTTAATGAACGACACGTGTGCTAATCTTCTTCATATATCAGACGTTTTAATAAATAAGTCGTTTACATTATATCGTTGTACACCACTTTACAAGTTCGAACTTTCTAAATTATGCCAATACGCGAAAGAGATTCAAAAGTTTATTGAGGGGCAAATGAATGGAATTCTTCCTTTTGATAGTTCAGAGGAATTCGAAAATATTAATATGTTAAAGGAAGGAAGAGTAACGGATGTAGTCATTTCAAGAATTAATGTACCAGAGTGGAATGGTATACTTGTGCCTTTCAGTATAAAGCAGATTCACGACATCAAACCAAAATTTTATTATTAAACGAAGTTGCTACATCATTTCGCACCCAGCTTTGAACGATTTGCCAATAGGAATAGAGATACAATTCAGACCTAAAAGTATATATAATTATTTATCGTTTGCAAAAACGAGATTTTCTTGAAATTTACTAATCATAATTATGGGTTAAGGATCGTCAACAGAACAAAAATTTCATATAATATTGTTTCCAAGTAGGCATGGCAATGATACAAACACTGATCGTATGTTATCAATCATTTTGAGATAATTATCAGCCTTGAAAGATAACGTATAAACTAAAATGATTGAACCTAATTTCAGTCTCATTTAGTCATTACCCTCTCATGATTACTAAAGCTCCACAACGAATCACAACTATTTTCATCGAATGGATTCAAAGGCAATTCGATTGTAGAATTTGTCGGTGTCATTTGCAGTCTTCCAACTTAAAGAGCATTGTTGAAGAGTGGGCAAAATTTGTCTTTAACCAAGGAAAATTTTTATGATTTTCTTTATAATTATTGTCATTTGATCCTTTTGTTAGATTCTTTGTGAACCATTTAATACATATAATACAAATCACACAGATTTACCCAGTTCTCCATCTGCATCAAGGCAAATTGAGCTTACATACTCAATTCCAAATATTGCTGAAATAAAAAATATCACGTTAAGGATTTCATTTGAGGATACAAACCGTCTTTATAACAGGTATTATTAGCATTATACTTTATCAAGTATTGCATTGTTTACGAATTTTTCTAATAGAAAAATCATTGAAAGACAAACTCAAAATGGTGCTGAACGTAAGTATTTCTAACATTAAGGCAAATAATTAATATACTATTTCTCAATTATATTTAATCAAATCGTGGAATCTGTATAAACTTAGAAACATTAAGCATAATGGAAAGCATTGAAACCCATTTTTTCCATTGTTTACGTATCAAGTTCGCGTCTTTGAACTTTTCCAAGATCTCGACCAATGTGGGCCACATTACGTGTGATGGCAAATTGAAGGTAACCAAGAAGTTTGTAAAAATTCAAGCATGAATATATCTTTCACCTCGATATTCATAAATGTTTTAGTTATTTGCAGTTTTTAACCCTCGCTTGACCGCATCCTTTCTAGAAAAGTTGGTGATAATTGCGCAATAGTCAGACTATATACTTTCTTTAAACTTTATTTAGATACAGATATTGGAACTAATGATATCTCTTAAAATTGATATACGAAAGTATATGAAATTAATCCAATAAAAATCATGAATTTGATCTATCTATGTTGTTTTCCTTATGATATCAGGTCCCGGGAACCATGGAATTTACATACTAGTAGTCTGCTGATATT